CCGCGGAGGCTGGCTGGTAAACAATGCCACCGGCGGAACATGTGAACATGTGGCTCAGGCCGCACATAGACGCGTCTCGGACGAACAGCGTTGAGCGGGTTTTTTAGCGGTATGCGAGGCAAAATCTTAGCAATAAAATGTAGCGGTATGCGGATTTAACGTTATGTAAGGCCAACGGTATGCGGGGGTCCACTGTACCTGGTATGTGTCCACTTCCAAGCCAAACAAATGTATATATAGTATATCACAGTGCTCTCGTGTATTCTTCCTGGAGCTTAGCAACACGTACTGTAATCTAGTTTTTTCAGTACTGCAGCTTTCTGCTTTATAGGTAGTATATGCCTTATTAGTGTTTTTTTGGACATACACATCATAGAGGCTACAGCAAACATCAATACTTGCATTACTTTGTGGTATAATAAATAATCTCTGAAGTGTTTTTCCATTTCTATCTTTTTACAATATTGCCCCAGGATGAAGAAAAGTTGTAGTGTTAAAGCTGTGTTCTTTATTTTCTGTAATTATAGTGTTAAGTATGAAAAACTAGCTAATAAGCTTTGTCTGGCTAACTTGAGACTTGTAAGTCATGGGCAAAGTCAGGCAGTGGCTTGAAGATCTACTGCAGTTCCAGGTATACAGATACTATAGGGAGGGGGAAATGGTGCCAATTTCAGAGGATGGATTTTTTTTTCTGCTGAAGGATGATAGATATGAGCCTATGAATTAATAATAATATCTTTATTTCTACAAGTGCATGTACAAGTTATCCAAGCCTAGCTGACATCGGTGACATACTACTACTATATAGAAAGCTTTTGTTATGCAGAGCATTTTGGGCAAATAAGGTCAGTTTTGTCCCAGGATGCGACCCACACCAGTCGACTAACACCCAGATACCCATTTTACTGATAGACGAACAGGGACAACAGGTGTAAGGAAGCGCCCAATGTTTCCACCCTTCCCGAGAATCGAACCACGGACCCTTAACATGTGAAATGAGACCTTTGCCTACCAGGCCAAGGGCCACCTAAAGTACTGGAGTTGTGTACGTGTACTGAGTTTTTTTTTTTTTTTTTTCACTCGTGGGCAAGTCCTTGATGCTGGTGAGGCACTCTTGATTCACGGAATTGGGTCAAGGCGGCTGTTTGCTTTCCATTCCCCAGGCACTGTATGACCCTTTTGAATTTAGTGTTTTCCCCTGAATAATAATGATATAGATAAATTGGAATAAACTGCCAAGTAGTATTATTGAAGCATACTACTATGTAATATTACATATTACATAGATATAAAAATTGATTAAGCAAATACACAAATACAAATAATGTACAGGAATTGCATGTTAATGTGTAGACATTAAGTCAGACAGCAGATCATGAGGTGTATGTTTTACTTATCTAGAAATACATGCTGTACATGGGTCTGTGTAGCAAAATTAAATAAAATTAAGTGATGCTCAACATAACATCTTGTTCAACCCAAATAGGTTTCAATGTATCTGCTTGGATGAATACATAAGATGAGACACACTGTTTACAGTTACCTCACTGATAAATGCACATGGATAAACACATGTTTTTGTCCCTGAAAGACTGATTTTGAGTGTTGTATCTTAGGTGTCAAGATGGTGGCGATTGAAGTGCAGCCCGAGTATGGTTACTGTGTGTTGGTGGCTGTTGGCTCTTCCTTCATGCTTGTCTGGAAGGCCATGCAGGTAAGATTCTTATAGTATTGCAATTTGTTGTAATTTTGTGTGTGTGTGTGCATGCGCGACATAGACCCAGACCCAAAGGTGCAGAGAGGCCAAAACCAGGTGTGCTGGAGAACGGAAGAAGTATAGAAGGCAAAGGACCCAGGAGAATAAGGAGAGCAGTCACAGAGCTAGAAACGAATATGCACAGGTAAGAAGAGAGGCCCAACGACTATGAAAATGACATGGCAGCAAAACCCAAATCTGGCCCGAAGCTGTTGTAAAGCCACATCAGGAGGAAAACAACAGTCAAGGACCAGGTAATCAGGCTGAGGAAGGAAGGAGGAGAGATCACAACAAACGACTGTGAAGTATGTGAGGAATTCAGCGTGATATTCAAAGAAGTGTTCACAGAGGAGACAAGGGATGCCAGAAAGAGAGAGAGGTGGGGTACATCATCACCTGTTGGACACAACACACACAACCGAGGAAGAAGTGAAGAGGCTGCTAAGAGAGCTAGATGCCCCAGAGGCAATGGGGCCGGATAACATATCTCCATGGTCTCCTGAGAGAGGGAGCAGAGGTGCTGTGTCTACCACTAACAGCAATCTTCGTCACGTCTATCAAAACAGGGCGACTACCTGAGGTATGGAAGACAGCAAATGTAGTCCCAGTTTTAAAAAAAAAGGAGACAGACATGAAGCATTAAACTACAGACCAGTGTCACTGACATGTATAGTATGCAAAGTCATGCAGAAGATAATCAGAAGAGTGGTGGAGCACCTAGAAAGGAATGAGCTTATCAGCATTAGCCAGCACAGTTTCAGGGATGGGAAATCCTGTGTCACAAACCTACTGGAGTTCTATGACAGGATGATAGTAAAACAAATAGAAAGAGGGGTGGGTAATTTGCATGGTCTTGGACTGTAAGGTGTTTGACACAGTTCTACACAAGAGATTAGTGCAAAAGCTGGAGGACCAGGCAGGGATAACAGGGTAGGCACTGCAATGGATCAGGGAATACCTGTCAGGAAGACAACAGCGAGTCATGGTATGTGGCAAGGTGTCAGAGTGGGTGCATGTGACGAGTGCGGTTCCACAGGGGTCGGTCCTAGGATTGGTGCTGTTTCTGGTACTATTTGTGAATGGCATGACAGAAGGAATGGACTCAGAAATGTACCTGTTTGCAGATGATGTGAAGTTGATGAGAAGAATTCAATGGGATGAGGACCAGGCAGAACTACAAAGGGATCTGGACAGGCTGCAGGCCTGGTCCAGCAACTGGCTCCTGGAGTTCAACCCCACGAAGTGCAAAGTCATGAAGATTGGGAAGGGCAAAGAAGACTGCAGATGAAGTACAATATAGGGGGCCAGAGACTACAAACCTCACTCAAGGAAAAGGACCTTGGGGTGAGTATAACACCAGGCACATCTCCTGAGGCACACATCAAGCAAATAACTGCTGCAGCATATGAGCGCCTAGAAACCTAAGAACATCATTACGACATTTCAATAAGGAATTGTTCAAGGCCCTGTACACTGTGTACGTTAGGCCTATATTCGAATATGCAGCAACAGTTTGGAATCCACACCTAGCCAAGCACGTAAGGAAACTAGAGAATCTGCAAAGGTTCACAAGACTAGTCCCAGAGCTAAGGGGCATGTCCTACCTGGAGAGGTTAAGAGAAATTGACCTGACGACACTGGAGGACAGGAGAGATGGAGGGGGATATGATAACGACATAAAATACAGAGAGGAATCGACAAGGTGGGCAGAGACAAGATGTTCCAGAGATGGGACACAGCAACAAGGGGTCACAGTTGGAAGTTGAGGAATCAGATGAAGCAGAGGGATGTTAAGAAGTATTTCTTCAGTCACAGAGTTGTCAGGCAGTGGAATAATCTGGGAAGAGATGTAGTGGAGGCAGGATCCATACATAGCTTTAAGAAGAGGTATGGTAAAGCTCATGGAGCAGGAAGAGTTATCTAGTAGTGGCTAGTGAAGAGGCAGGTCTAGGAGCTGTGACTCAACCCTAGCATACATAGCTTTAAGATGAGGTAGGACAAAGCTCAGGAAGCAGAGAGAGGGGGGGAGAGGGAGAGAGAGAGAGAGGGGGAGGGAGAGAGAGGGGGGGGAGGGGACCTAGTAGTGATCGGTGAAGAGGCGGGGCCAGGCGCTGAGTCTCGACCCCTGCAACCACAATTAAGTGAGTACAATTAGGTGAGTATATACGTACACACACACAGTAGCAACCGGTGAAGAGGCGGGGCCAGGAGCTAAGACTCGACCCCTGCAACCACAAATAGGTGAGTACATACACACACACACACACACACATGGAAGCAGTATCGCTGAATAGTGCTCCCAGGATATAGCGTTCTAGTGGCTGTCCTAAGATATTATTAGCGGGCATCGTACGTGAGTGAATCAGTGAACATATCTACAAGAGTGTAATAGCTTTCAAGAGTGTGAATAATGTGATAAGAATCAAGAATTTATACATTTAAATTTAAATAATGTTGAGTGAAAGGGGGGGTAGCAGTCAGATGATAGGCTACTGGCTGCAGTGTTGACACAAACTAATCCAAACAGTTAATTGGTTAACGGTGTGATCTAAATATAACAAATACATATGTAGTTTGGTTATAACAGCATTGTAGTGAAAGGACAATAAAAAGTGATTAGGGGAAGTAAATACTGAAAGTAAGAAAAAACTATCAATCCCCCAGTTGTTGGTTGTTGTGAATGTAGCCTAAACATCATCATAACTTGTTATGATCATAATACTGTACTAAAAAAAAAAGGGATACCAAGTCTTAAAAGAAAAATAAAAACTTGAATGCATGATAAAGTTCCTGAAGGAGTTACAAAATTGAAGAGTTGATAGCAGCCGACAGGCAGAACCTCCCTTGTTGTGCAAACGACATCACTTGCCTATTTGTGGGGTTAATTTTGTTAGTGTCAAAGTCTCAAGAGTCTCGCGCCCTGCTGATTGTATGCTTTACCAAACTCTCTCCCTCTTTCAGTACCAGGAGATAGTGGTAACCCGCTAATGTTTAGTAAATTATCTAATTATATATTGAATATCACTGGGCCGATTCCCAACCAAAGCAGGGTGGCCCGAAAGAGAAAAACTTTCACCATCGTTTCACTTCTCCCCCCCCATCACTGTCTGCCAAAGAAGGGTGCTTTACACTACAGTTTTTTAAAACTGCAACGCCTGCAGAGTGCAGGCACTGTACTTCCCATTCAGACTCGAGTCCGGCCTGCCGGTTTCCCCTGAACCCCTTCAATAAATGTTTACTTTGCTCACACTCCAACGCACGTCAAGTATTAAAAACATTTGTCTCCATTCACCTCCTATCAAACACGTCTCACACAGCATGCCTGCCTGGAAGTCCAAGCCCCCTAGCACCCAAATCCTCCTTTACCCCTCTCTCCAACCTTTCCTAGGCCGACCCTACCCCCCTTCCTTCCATTACAGACTGGATACACTCTTGAAGTCATTCTGTTTCGCTCCATTCTCTCTACATGTCCGAACCCACTCAACAAACCCTACCTCAGCCTCACGGACAACAGTTTTGGTAATCCCGCACCTCCTACCTAACTTCCCAAACTACGAAATTCCTGCATTATATTCACAGACCACACAGTTGCCCGTCAGACATGACACTCCACTGCCTCCAGCCTTCTCCTCGCTGCAACATTCATCACCCATTCTTCACACCCATATAATAGCGTTGGTAAAACTATACTCTCATACATCCCTCTTTGCCTACCAGGACAAAGTTCTTTGTCTCCACAGACTCCGTAATGCAACACTCACTCTTTTTTCCCCACCTCATCAATTCTATGATTCACCACTCATCTTTCATAGGACCCATCCCGCCTGACTACGTCCACGACCCAAATATCGGAATACGTTCACCTCCTCCATACTCTCTCCCCCAATCTGATATCAATCTTTCATCACCTAATCCTTTTTGTTATCCTCAAACCTTACTCTTTCCTGTATTCCCTTTATATTTCTTCTTTTGCACACCCTAACTACCAGAAATTCATCCACGCAATCTCTGCAACTTCTCTTCAGAATCTCCCAAGAGCACAGTGTCATCAGCAAGAGGCAGCTGTGACAACTCCCACTTTGTGTGTGATTCTTTTATCTTTAACTCCAGCCCTCTGCCAAGACCCTCGCATTTACTTTCGTCCTTACAACCCCATCTATAAATATATTAAACGACCACGGTGACATCACACATCCTTGTCTAAGGCCTACTTTTACTGGGAAAAAATTTCCCTCTTTCCTACATACTCTAACTTGAGCCTCACTATCCTCGTAAAAACTCTTCACTACTTTCAGTAACCTACCTCCTACACCATACACTTGCAACCCCTCCAGGTAAACTCCAGAAGAGTTGTGTAGCCTAGTGACCCCCCCCCCCCCGTTTTTCTGAGCGACAAGCTAGTAAACAAGTATGTACATACAAACACACGTGTGCACCCATAATTATTATTATAATAAACATTAGTATATATTAATAAGGAATTGAGTGAAAAAATAATCCTATAATCTTCAAAAAGTAAAGTAGCCTAGTGTGCGAAGATCTGGGCCAGGAGAGTACCGGTGAACCAAGAAACAATAACAAATAGTGTTAACGTGACCTCCCCCCCCCTCTTTTTCAAAGAACGACAAGCTAGTAACACACACACCACACACACAAACACACACAACAAAACACAAGTGTACACAATTAAATATATATAGTATATACAGTGGAGCCCCGCCATAACGATGGCAATCACATAGCGTTTATTTCGCATACCGCTTACTTTTAATCGCAAAATTTTTGCCGCGCATACCGATTAAAAACCCGCTCTACGCGATTTTCCGTCCAAGACCGTCCACATGTGGCGCCCTCACATGTGCCGCCCGTGCCATTTTACCCAGCCAGCATCCGCGTAACAATCCAAGCATACACTGGAATATTCGTATTATTACAGTGTTTCGGTGCTGTATCTGGAA